AAAAGAAAAATAATGAATAAATAGAAGTTAAAAGATAGGAAAGATAATTTAATTTATCTAAATTAGCATTAAGTTTTAAAGTGTATAGTATATTAATCAACTTAAATAATGTAAGTGATAAAAAATTCTTAGTTGGATTTATTAATCCCTAAAATTGGTAATCCAAATAACTATAAGTTATCAAGAATTGATGAAGAGATAGCAGATGAAAATGAGGATGAATACTATATAAGAAATATCATCAGGATTATAAAAAAGGTTTTAATAAAGGGAAAAATGATATTGTTTAAAAGAAGTCTCATTATTGCTTATGCTATAGACTAATGGTTTGAAGATGCAGTGAAAAAACAATTGCAAAGACAAAAGAAAATATTTTGTTGCTCTAATAAAGATATGTAATAAGCTGTAATTTTTTTTGGAATATCTAAAAATGTATTTAAAGTTTTTAGAGGAAAAACTGAAGGAAAAAGAATGGGTTATAAAGCGCAAAATATCATTCTAACATATTCAATCAGAGAAAGAGTTTTTTTTAGACCTGATAAAGAATGAAATTTTATGATTATATATAAATAATAACAGGATTAGCTGAAATTGAAATACATTAAATAAATAAAGTTATATGCTTAAAATATGAATAATTATACGATCAGACAACTAATAAAAAATATTTTTTCAGGCAAAGATTTAGAAGACGTAAGTCTTAAAGATGCACAAAAGAACATAGTAATGAAGAAGCAGAAAAGAAAACAGCTGAAAAATCATGCAAGAAATTACAATGAAGAATCGCCAAAAATAAATTTTAAACTGCAGTACTATTTCTCAAATTTGCACAAATCCAAAGTTTAAGAACTTCATGTTTACTGTCTAAAATCAATATTCTAAGAATTAGACAAAATTTGTGTACAAATATTCTTAATTTATTAGAAATTCTGGAATCTAATTTGAGAGGAATAAATCTAAAAAATAAAAAAATAAATGACTTCATCAGGTTAAAGATTGAAAAAATAAAAGCCTATATATAGAAAATAATCATTCTTTAAATTATTTAACAACTATGAATTAATCACAAATCTTTACGCCCTTATGTATGTTCTCCAATAACCAAACAAATAAAATTATACATAAGGTTTGTAATTCTATTTAACAAATTATTTACCTTAACTTTAAAATTAAAAATGAATCAATTCTTCTTATTTGTTTTAAAGGAATATAAATAAAGGAATTTTTTACATGATCTAAAATGAATTGATATAAGGAGCGATAAAGTATTGAGAATTGAATATATGCTTTTACAGATAAAGGTACTAAAATAAGTATTTGCTTGGCATTGAGGATGTGTTAACAGTATAAATAGTCATTTATAGAATATCATTGCTGAATAGAATTACCAATAGATGATTGAGCATTTTATTAGAAGTTCATTAGTTGCAAAAGAAATGGTGACAGATTATAACATTAATCTAAATAGTTCCAAAAATCTATATTTACACATCACAAAAGGTCCAAAAGATTTTGAAAGCACTATATAGAATTATTCAAATTATATTATATGAGAGTTAGTATGATTTATTATTTATTTTGATTCATATTAGATAATTTTAAAAGTTCATTCTTTTACAAAGAATAGTATTAAAATTGAAATTTATATTGAATCGAAAAATTTGTTAACATTTTTGGTTAATTCGATTATTACTGAGGAGAATGAAATGAACATTACATCAAATAATTTTTTTAAATCTTTGAGATAACAAATATGACGAAAATATTTGAACCTGTGTCTAAATAAAGTTTAACAATTAAAATAATTTTAAAGATCTATAAATATTTTCCTTCCTTAAATGGCTTCATTAGTGGAATTTGTTAAAATTCATAGAATTCCAAAGAAATGGCTGTGGTTGATTATTCATAGAAGTTATTGGATACATAAGTAAGTTAATGTTAGATAATAAAGATTTAAATAGGAAGTTAATTCTGATGTGAAAACATGCTCATTTCTGGTTGATTTCAAAAATATAATTTTATTTTTAGAATTAAAATAATGATCCAAGAATAATAAAAGTAATATGAATATATTTTTAGCATAAAAAAAATTAATATTTTTGATCTCCAATAATCAGTTTTTCATAAGAATGACTTTTGATTTTCAGGAAGCCAAGAAAAGGGATGTGAGGTTAAATGAAAATTCAAACCTTCTTTTTACCAAAATTTTTATTGACAATTCCTAAAAATTAATAAAATGGTTTGGAATAGAAAAAAAATAAAAAAGAGACTATCTTTAGTTAAATGAAAATTCATAATTCTAAGTAGGAAACTAGTTCATATATTTTATCACAAATATCCTTATAGACAGAGAATCTGATGTGCTGTTGATGTCCAAAGATTCAATAAAAATAATAGTATTTAAGCAATTAGAAACAATAGATTATTTTATGGTCAAGATGAAACAAGTAATTGGTAATGATTTAATAGATAATTGTGCAAAAAAGTGAAAATAATAAATCTTAGTTTAGAACTAATCTCAGATGTCTGGTGTATACTAGATTTAGCTCAGCAAAATCAAATAAAGAGTTGATTTCGATCATTGAAAGGAGTTAATTAAATTACTTAAGCATCAATAAATTGATGGAATATCTAATGAGCAATTTTAATTAAGAATTTCAAGACCCTGATATTCTTTATAGCCAAGGAAATTAAGAAATACTGAATGTAATAGATAATTAAATGCTAAATGAGTTATTAGTTATAGAAAAGAAGAGCAAAAAAGTAAAATATAGATAGATTAACCAATAATTGGTTATAATCTCAAACTATTTTACAAATGAAATTATCCTTGTAAAGAGGTTGAGAGTTATGTAAAATAGATAAAATCATATCAATAATATCTATGCATAAGAAATTCTACAAATTTACAAAAAGATAAGTCCTAATTGAAGATTATCTTCATATATAGGAAGAGTTAAGCATCAATATTATTAAAGCTAATTTAAATATTTATAATGAAAAATTTATTAGGCATATAAGCTAAATGATCTAATGATATTCCAATTATAAAACTTTTAATTAAAGAAACCTTATTCTCTCTATATTCATATTTATTGCCTTATCAATTACATAAAAATACAATATTTATGAACTTCAAGAATAAATATCATAAAACTGGAATTGTCCTTTTAGAAAAAAAATTCTATTTTAGCTACCTTAAAAGAGGTTTAATTTCTTCGATTGAACAATACTGGACATATAAATATTAGCAATAAAGAATAAAGTTGCATTAGCAAATATTATCTCTTTTTAAATGAAAGAGTCCATTTCATTTTCCTTAAATTTCCTTAATATTGTTATGGATTCTTCAAAGCATGAGGAATTTAAATTACATCTATTTTTTAAAGAATTATATTATTTTATTGATACTTTTCATTATATCATGTAGAGTTATCAATAGCAGTTAATGAACGAAATCTCAAAAATATATTATTTATAAATCAAAATTGATTATATAAATTGAAGAAATCATGGAATCTAGATTGTTTGGATAACAAATTCTATTTTGAATCAAATTTATACATTATATTAATTAAAATATCAAGCACCTCATATTGCCTCAATTCAAAGTAAAACTAATTTAATTGTATTTGAATTGGACAGTTAAACATTTTACAATATTGTTGAATTAATTAAATATATTTAATTATAAAGAGATAAAATATATCAATGTACGAACATGTATTGATAGATTCAGATGGAGGATCTCATGTTGTGAACTCAATCATAGGTTATAGCTTCTTAAAAAAAATATCTTTTCAATTTTAGAGGAAGTTGAATTAAAGCAAAGGTTTATTTTGAAAAGCTTATTCAAAAACATCCCTAAATACATTAATATTTTTACTCAAAAGATTTTTTCGAGAAAGCTGTTTAGTTGATATATTTCGATAAAAAGTTTCAAAAGAATGCTAGAATTTAATTTATATATATTATAAAGAAATATTCAAATCTTTCTCTTTCTTTTCTACTTATTATTCTTCTTTTAATAAAAAAATTAGTATTTAAAAAAAATCCTGCTAGAAATTTCTTTTATTATAATTTTAAGAATTGTAGTCTATTATTCAGCTTATATAGGCTAAATTCTAAACTTTATATTTTGAACCTGATTATAATAAATATATTTGCTCTCAATTTAAGAAGTGGTAGTAATATTCGGGGTTTATTTTGCTTTCTTGTTAATATTCAAAAATAATTCACTTATTTAATTATAGAGAAGGTCTAATATAAAATTCATATATGATATTGCACTTAAAAAATTTTATATCACAAAGCTTGCTACTTTGAAAATCAGAGTGGGGAGTTTTGTATTTTATTAAGAATTTGGTTACTTCAATGACTATAAGAAAAATTCATACCACACCACCGAAAACAATGAATCATGGTAAAAAATTGAAATATAAATTATTAAAAAAAAAAGTTTTTGGATATTGGAAACAAAAAAAGTATAATAAATTAGATAATCTCTCTTGTGCAAGCTAAGTATGTGAATAGATAGAGTATGTGGAAAAGATTTCTGTTTGAGTTTGAATATCTGATACTACCCTTTAAATTTTGAACTACTATTAGAGCAAAGATTCAAATTTTATCAAAATAATTGAACCATTCTAAACTATCCTACGATCTAATCCCTTTTTCTGTGTGAATAGATGATGGATGAGCTGAATTAGAATAATTAATAAATAGTTCCACATCACATCGATGCCATCAGGGATTGTGGCACTTATGCCATAATCTCTCTTTATCTTATAAATTTAATTTAACAAATTATAAATAATTAATTTGATTTTTAAAATAATATCAGTCAATATTATTTCAATTAAATATGAGATATTCAATTTTTAAATTTAATTAACAAATTCTTAATATAAAATCAATTATTTATTAAAAACGTAGGTAAAATATAGAGGGGAAAGAATTTATATTATTTTTACATAAAATTGATAGAAAAATAATTAATAACAATTAAACAATAGATATATTAATATTTATTCCATTAATAATAGGTACATATATATGTCCTCTTATTTTAAAAAATGCAACAATATTGAATCCTTTTTCATTTATTTTTTGGATTGTAATAAATAATCATATAATAGTAATTAAATTAAATAAATTGATATTGATGTTAAAATCTTTCTGATCAAAAAATTAGAACATCTAATCCAAATGGGTTCCAGACATCCTTAATTTAGAAATTGATTACCTGCTAAATTTTATATAACTACAATTAATGCTTGATTAAATAAAATTATAATTCTGTCATCCCTTTTTAAAAATCAATTGTAATCACCTATTCAAATTTTAATTTAACTAAATCAGTGCGTTATTTATAAATAATTAGAATAAAAAAATGATCACTTCTTGTTCCAAGTATGAAAATCCTTTAAATTCCTTTCTCTTTTTCGTATCCAAAGATAATACAACCTATTATTGCAAAGTTGTGATAGTATGAATAAAAGGTTTAATGGCATTTTTTGAAAATTGGGCTATACAATTTATTTCTACTCTAAATTTATTTTATTATCAAAATAAAATGTGAAAAAATGGGATTATGAAATTAAAGTTGGCTTGTTAGAAATTGGATAGATTTTATAATCAGATATCATTTTATTTATAAGTTAGACGGATGCCTTTGAATTTAAAATCTAAGACGATAATACGTTATTATTAAACTTATTGAAAGCATTTGTTACTCTTTAAAACTTCGATGTAATTTATTTTTATTTAGATGAAATATAAAATTTCATTTGAAGCAACTGAACAATTGGAATATTACATCATTATAGTTTTTATCTTCTTAACGCATCCTACATCCAAATCAAATGCTGAATTTTTAGTCATACCTAAAAATGATGATTTTGAACTTTTGAGTCCGTAAATTTATTATATAGATTGAAAATTGGAATCGGTAATTATTTTTGCTATCCTTGATCATTATTTTATCTAAGGAGTCAAGATATATTTCAAATTATATCAATTAATTATAATTTGACAATATAGAATAATAATCTTAATTCAAATATGGATAATTATGAATATGAATAGAAATTTTATTATGGATAAAAAAAACTCTATAATTAATTGAGTTTCAATTTATTATTGAAGGTAAGGATTCTGTATTCATTTTTGGAGTAAACTATAATCTAATAGTAATTTAATGATGATTTTCATTAGTAAAAGTAAAGTCTTGAATTTAAAATTAAGCAAGGTGCTTGACTAAAATCTTTTGTTTTTTCTTAAACTCATAATTGGATTTATTCTGGATCTTATTTTGAGCGGGTCATGATATTTTTGTTAATTTATTGATTGGAAGCTTAAATTGCTTTATGTAATTCTTATTAATTTTACTAATATAAATTATCAAAAATTTTCATGTATATGGGCTACCATATTAGAAAGAGAAATTTATTTATTAACTTTTGAATGATGAGATGCACTCTTTTGAAATAATAAAATCTAAATATTAAAATTTTATTCAAAGAAATGCCTCTTCTTGTATATTAAACTAAATTTTTAAAATATAATAATTAGACATTAAAATTATTGAAAAATTTTAACTTAATTTTAGGATGGCAAAAGTTTATTCATTATATTATTCACCTAAAAATTAAATTCCATCTTCAAAAGTGGATTAACAAAGAATTTCACTGTAATAACACCCTATATTACATAAACAATTAAGGCATCCATTAACTCCAACTTCTAATAATTAATTTTCAACTTCGATATTATATCCGCTTTTTTTAATAATGAATTTTTATGTATACTTTACATTTCTTGAATGGGCTTCGAATACATTTTATAATTCATAATTATGTGTTATGATATATGTGTCACCATCTATACATAAAATTAATTATTTAATAATAGCTATATATAGATTAAGTGCAATTCAAAATTAAATTAGAATGATATACAAGATTAAATAAAATGAAATGATTAGTTAATATAATAATCTTAACAATCAAATTTATTGAAAATGAAGATAAAACATTTTTCAATTTATTGATACGTTTTTCCATAATTATACACCTCTTAATTATAAAATTCTTTTCATTTATTATAATTTGGATCGAAATATAATCCTTACTTCCATACACATAATTATCAATTAAATTATTTTTAATTTATGATCATTTATAAACTATAAAATAGTTCTGGAGTTAACTAACATTATTTTGATTATTATTATTATAACATTCTTTATTCACATACATCTTCCATTAATTGATTATAACATGAGATAATTAAAAAGTTTTCTTAAACTAAAAATTTGTTATAAATTACTTCTATTTCAATTTTAAAAAACTATCAAATCATTTTAATTTACAACACACTGATCAAAGAGGGAAGAAATATTATAGTTACAAAAGATTATGTACAAACTTTTATAATTTTTCTATCTCATACTATCCATCACCCAATATCTCAAATTAAGGTATTAGCTTTATGAATAAAGACATAATAAAGATTTGCTGTATCTACTATAACAACGAAAAAACATAAAAGAAATAAACCCTGTATATTTTTAGGAGAAAATTTTGGAAAATTAATTTTGTTATTGGTGAGAAATTTATTCAACTTTACTGAGTTTAGTGTAACCTATTTGAATTTTTATTAATTTATGTATCCAGACATATTTTTTAAAATACGATGAAGGAAGTTGCTAAAAATGTTTTAAACAGCTACTTTTGAAATACTTAATACAAAGAAAAGCCAGTAGAACAAAATCAAATTACTTATCAAAAATATTAGAAATCAGTATTAAAGAACAACACAAATAGGCTAAAATTTAAAAACTTAACACAACAATATTTATAATATATTTTTTTATCTTTAGTGTTGGCTAATTATACTTTTTACCTATTTATTATACTTTAGAAATTATATGCGAATTGATTATTAATTAACGAGAATTTTTTAATTAGGGAAACATACCGAATCTATATAACTACTTACTTAAATCATAGAAGCTATATCAATAATAACTCCAAAAGCAATTTATGATAATTAATATTATAATATTAACCTTCATAAACTTCTATTTAATTATATTGGTAAGCAATATTTGTCTAATATACTTATAATTGCCTTCGCTATTGAGTACCATATATTTTTGACCAATTATATCATCTATAAAAAGTAGAATATGCTGGAGCTGATTAATTAATTATTTTTGTTAATTCATTTTTAATTTGTAAGTGATTACATAATCTACTTGTAGTAATTCAGTCATTGCTCTACAGGCAATACATTCAAAATCAGATTTAATCGCAAGGAGCAATCATCACTTTAATTCCTACTTGCATATAAAATGAACAAATAAATAGTATATAGAAGTACTTTTTTTACCATTACCATTGATTGATTCAGCATACTAAAATAATTTTGAGCCCACTATTTTGCTATAATGTTATTATTTTATTACTAATAGGCTTAGTTGTATTAAACTATATTTTACTAATAATTAACAACGATAATTAATTTTGGATATTTTTTGGTATTCTATTCTACTTTAGTTTTAATATCGTAAGCCTTATTTCCCAGATAAATTTCATTGGTAGAAGGTATATTTCTAAAGTTATTATAAGTATCTTCGGTTATGTTAATGTTAATAAACTCTAAGTTTCCTACTATAACCAATAGGATGGCATTTTGCGTTTTGTTAGCTAGATCAATAGATTCATCTGCAAAATTATAATCCTTAATTTTCCAAAATAAGAAAAGCAGAAATCAATTTGATAATTAAACAATGTTACCACACACTATTGAGATCTTAGATCTTATCATCTAAGTTTATATAAAATTGATTGAATTAATAGTATTTCCAGTATGAGTCAATTTCTTGTAAGAAGAATAGTTACTCCTCTTCCCCTTTCATAAACCTATAGTTTTGCATTTTGGTCGATATTCAGATTTTATACATTAAAAGGTTTTTTATTTTTCTTTCTTAATAATATCTATCAGTATTAATAGTTCCAATAACATTTATTGCTGGGAATGTAAGAGAACTTTAATTTTCTTGTAATAAATTTTCTATTTAGTTATGGCTTTTATATTATTAACCCAAGAGGATTTATCTAACTAAAATTTTTAGTCTATGTTCATATAATTTAAAAAATTCCTTGTTATGTAAATAATCCTTGTAATTTATTTTAAAGTAAAGGTATCAAAGTTAGAATATTATTTCCTTTGCAGTAAATTTTGTACCATTTTAAAAAATAAAGAGTTCAAAAAAAAATGATGATAATGGAACACTTTTATTGGTCTAAATAAAACATATAGAGATAGGTAAGCGAGTATAATGTCAAAATAGTTGAATACTGCCTTTTCAAATTGAATGGGTATTTATATTTCTAATTTAGAAACAAGGAGTGCAGATTAAGACATCAACTTAAATCTACTCCTCAAAAGATCAAAGAAAAAATAAGATAAAGTATATCATAAAAATAATTTGTATCAAATAGATAATTCTTAAAGTATGTAATTATAAATTTATCAGCAAGTTGTTATTAACTTCTATGTTACATACAACTCCTGAGAGAAAGTAAGAGTTTATTGTTTTTCAAAATAGGAATGCCCTGTTAAAAGAATTAGAAGGCCTGAAATTCAAAGAAAAATGTGACCAAGCAGGCTAAGCCACCGAATACCTGAAACAACTAACTTGATGATGAGATGGCATTCTAACACTTACCTAGCCTAAAAAATATAATAAATTAACTAGAATGAACTCTCTGGCTAAAATTAAAAAAACAAAGTATCTCAATAAGCTCTTCCTGCTTTAACAAGCAAAACAAGTAGATATCCTATAAGTACTTTATTTGCAATGGGATCAAACATTTTACTGAAGTTTGCATAAGGGGAATTACTATTATTTATTGTCAAATAATTAGATATGTTTATTGATTCTCATTTAATCTTAACCACACCTCATTTAAAATTTTTCTACTATAGTATCTCATTAAAATTATAAATATAATTTAAAAAAAAAACGACTAATGATTTTGTATTAGATGTTTAAAAATAACTTCATAATAAAAATAGTAATGTTAAATATATAGTTTTGCCCTCTGCAGAATTCCAGAGAATATTATACTTGCAATTAATTGAAGAATCTGGAGTAAAAATCTTAAAATTATTATTAATAATTAAGCAAAATGATAAAAGGCAGTTGGTGATGGTAGCCGATAATTACGAAAATGATAGTCTGATAATAGTAAATTTTAAAATAAGTGAATGTGGTTTGATAGATCAATTTACAGATCTTGACGTTTTTGATAGCAAAGACTCAAAGCCTTATTTAATTGAAAAAAAACGATGATGTAAAAACTTGAGAATAAAATATTCCAAGATTTCTATCTTCAACAATAATTGAAATACTATTTGAGTTTTTAATCATTAATAGCTTCTTGTGCCTTATAATTAGACTACTACTTTCTCAAATATCTCTTTTAGGCTTAATTAGATCAAACAACATAAAATATTTTTATGCAAGGTATATTAGAAGGCTTAATTACCATTTTAAGATTCGTTTTAGATTTGCTTTAATAGAAAAAAATGATTAGAGCATAACTATCTTATATTATTGGATGTTTTTATCACAAGAACCAAAATTGCTAAACTTTTCTGATAATTTAAGGTTTATTATTGGTAAATAAATTTCTCTTGTTACACTCTTTAAGTCTTAATTAAAAACAATAAATTAAATTAGCAATAAGTTTCTATGCTTTGAAAAAACTTTGGATAAGAAAATATCTAAAATGGATTAAATTTAATCAGGAATAGACAAACATAACCTCTTTAACACATGGTAATTCCTGTAAAATAAAAGAATGTTTTGTTTTGATTTGAAGGATTCTATCTTTCTTATTATTAATAAACTTATATATTTTTTGTAGCTTCATAAAAAACTTCCATCTCTTAAAATAATATTTCTAGATCTTCTTACTATTCAACCTATTATTTGTACAACAATTTTTATTACCTTACTCTATCATATAAAGCATTCAGGCAAAATATCATTCGTTATTAGAATATATTTAAATTCGATTTTATACTTATATAACAAATAACTTCATTTGATAAAGTTGCAGGGCTTTTAGAATGCATTATATTGACACTCATAATCTATAACAAAATATGTTAATAAAATAGCCATCCATTTCTGCTCTTTCATTCTTAGGAAGGATCTTTACTAATAAATTCTATTCCTTTTAGCTCATTAATATCAATAAATCTCTCTTGCATAAGAGCATTTAACAAAATAGTAGGTTAGTAGATCAAAAATTAAATAGGATTTTCATAGATGAATTTATTATAATTCTAATTTTATATGTTAATTTATCTTTCAATGTTATTTCATATGTGAATTTTTTTAAAAGTACTTATCATTAAAAATAGTATAGTAATGAAACATTTTTATGATCTCAACAATACTCATTATTAACTTGTATTTGATGTTTAAATAGATATTAAGTCTGTATTTGTTTTTTAGATATATTAAATATGGTTTAAATTTATTTTCTAAAAGTTTTGTTGGATCATTGGAATAATATATTGATTATAGATGATAACTTTTGCCTGCTTTTGAAAAAAGATATTTTTTGGTCATAGTCGCTTCTTAAATTAGTAATAGGATCCTTAACAAAAAGTTCATAATTAAAAATTTTCTCCCACATAAGACTTATTTATCAGGTATGCTTCTGCATTTATTAGGTTTATTTGATTTTTCAAGAATTATTGCAGCAACATTTACAATTCTGAATTTATCGATAACTCTGTAGACCTTTTACACATAAATAGCCATTTTACCATAAGCAGGATTGGACATTGAATCATAGAAATATATTTTCACATACTCCTCTTTACACTAGAATTTGTTAAATCTGTATTATCTCTGTTGAAAATAAAAAAAGGATCAAAAAAAACATTTGGTTGAATAGAAGGTTTATAAATCAAACGTAAAACCATATTTGATAAATCTAGATTTCTTTGATTAGTATTTTTCTACCAATATTTAAGATTTAAACTGGCTCCTAACCTAATTTTCTAGTTTTGTTGATAATCAAGGGAATTAATGTTTAATTTCCTTATCCTAATGAATAATAATCCTTTAATATTGAATATTAGCATCTAATAAACAACATAAGAGATTGGAATTCTCTGCTCAACTTTAGCTTTACGATCCAAAAAAAATTAATTTGTTCAATTGACTGCAGGAATATTATTTCCTTGCTTTCTCTTTTGGTGAGGCTTACTAATATACTAAAAATTATCACTACATTTCAATTATGTAGAGAAAAATTATTATCAGCTTCTATTTTACTGATAAACTGCTCTATCTTATCGCTATCTTTAATCAAATGCCAATGCCAGTATTTTTGGTTTAAATTCTAAAAAACAATGGATAAAGCATGATCACATTCCTACTATATTGCCATTAAAATCTATTCTTTAATATAATACTAACATCCTTTACTCCATAAATTTAGTAAAAGGATCTTTAAATTAAACTACAGTTCTAATTAAGCATTCTGATAAATCAAAGATATTTTCAAGCCAGTAAATTATTGGTGCTATCTACTCTATATTTTCAGAAGTTTTTTTGAATAAATTTAATATATTAATGGAATTTGTTCTATCATAAAGATTATGTGAATTAATTACTTTTTCATTTTTGAAAAACAATCCTTGGCACTATTTATTTTCTTGGGTTATAATATCATAAACATGCTCTCAAGAACCTAGAATCATAACAATCGCTTTATCCATAATTTCAAAGTGTAATTCTTAAGAACTTTGCTTTTTTTGGTGATTTCAAACAATAAATTAATATAAAATCATCAAATTATGCCAGCAATCCAACCTCAAACAAAATAGAAGCAAGATCTAAAGTTTGTGCTCGCTGTTTCTTTTAGCTTGAATATATGAATTTTGCATTTATTTGCTATGGCTACCCTTTTTAGTGCTATTATTCCATAATTTCGTAATTTCTTTTCCCTTTTTAATATTGCGACACTATTAACCATTTCAGAAATCTTGTTCTTATTTCTTAATAGCATTATTAATTAGCTTTTAAAATCCAAGCAGAGAATCTTTGTTTCAGCTTAATTAAAAACTGTTTCCAAAGAATTAATTAAAACAAGGTCAAAATTTAAATATCAAAATGGTTTTTTAGCGGATAAAGTTGAAGCACCCTAAGTAATCAGTTTTGATAACAATTAAATAAATTTATCTAAAATTGATTCTACATATGATTAGTTCTTAAATAAACATTCTATCTATTTTATTAAGAAGTCTTATTCGTTGATTTGATAAATTTCTTTAAGAAACTACTGGAGTTTAGTATTTGAGTTTTATTTTCCTCATTTAAGTACTAAAATGATAGTAAAAACCTTAAGCCAGTCCAAGAATCTGTCAGCTGCAATAATACACAGCTTTTTAATATTTATGGTATTTTATATTATTTGTTATATTTTCCTTGTAAAATTATTTATTTACAATTTATATTATAGAGTTTGCATACAGAACTGTGAAATAAGTTTTTACATTTTAATTAGTGCCTCTATTATTTTAGTGGCAATTTTATGTAGGCAGCCTACCTCAATTTTTTGAAGTTTACTCTGTCAATTTAATTTTCGGTTATCAATAATTATAATCAGTAAATATGACCTTAAACCTCAATAATTGAATAAGTTCTTTAATAATTATAGGAGCACGTTATTATAATTTATTTCATGCAATTATAGGTAGCTCTTCTTTCCCTATTGATTTTAGGCAAGCTGTTAACAAATTTAATAAATAGGTCTTTGTAGGCAAAAAAGTATGTAAATTACTAGAATTTCACCTTATCTTATTACAGGAGCAAACACGGCTTCTAGTAAAGCCTGCAATGCTAGCATAATAAAAGAAATCTTTATTTGGGGAGGTAATTCTGAACTGTAAGAATTAGTTGACCAAATTTACATTTATCTAATTTGAAATTTAACATGTCTTTGTTATTATTTATTGAGTTTTAAAATATATCATCTTTGATCAAAGTTGAAAGAAACTCTGAGTTGCCAAAACATATTTTTTATTGAACTTGTCTTTAATATAATACTTATTGAAAAAGTATTATTATTAATTTTCTAAAAATTAAATAAGAATCTTTTTTTTAAAATTAAATTTATCATAGTTTTAAATAGTAAATTTTATTTTTTAATTAAATGAAAACATCTTACTTACTAATAATGAATTGTTGTTAAAATAAATTTGAAAATTTATTAATAATTCAAATATACAATATAGTTGTGTATTGTATATTGTTTAGCTAAATTCTCTGATATATATCTGAACAACTTGTATTGAATTTACGTTAAAATAATTGGATAACTTTTTAATATAGAAAAACTTTCAAGGCATATTGATAATTATTTAATATATCCTTCCTCAGAGATACAGGCTTAGAATAAAAATGATCAACTTTACAAAAAATCGAATTTTGACCCCATTTTTTTATTAGTGTGTCTGTCTATTTGTTAAAAGAAGAGTGATACCTTAGGTACTGAATTTCGGAATACTATTCTCTATTTCATATATTAAAAATACCAATCATTCTAAAATAAAAAATAAAGTAACTATTTGCTGATCTTTTTTCTAGAAACCTTTGTAAATCAGTTATCAATTTAAGAATTTTTGGTTGTGTTGCGCTACCCTTATTTAATCAAAATTTTTAAAATGATATTCTTTTCAAGTCGGGCTTGAATTTTGTGTAAAAATCTTAGTTCAAAAAAAATTTCATAATTGTGCTCTACTCAATTATAGGCTTGCTTTATATAATGGAATCAAGCGATTTTCCCCAAAGTTTGCTATAACTTATGGATAGGAGCTTGAGAAATAGTTTGATATTTATACAAAAAATAAAAATGAGATGTTTTGGAATTTTAATTTAAAAAGAAAAAAATTATTTTATTTAAAATGCATCTATGTTATAAAATTATCACAATTTATTAATTGATTTGTTAAATTTTTAATAAATAATTGAATAATTTAACAGTTGTTAAATATTTACACATTAGTAATGGATTTATTAATTAAAAGAAATTTAAATTTATTTAAATTAATAAAATTTTTATAAAAAATCTATAAATGCTCTAAAAGATATGTATATTTAAAAATAATTTTAATTATTATTTAAGAAAGTTCAAATATTCAATTAGTTTTTATTAAGTTTACTATTTAAAATTGTATTATTAATAAATTATTTTATAAGTGAGCTATTACTAATAAATAATTCTAAATTAATTAATAATTATCACATAGAATTAACAATTTACTATTTAAAACTTTATTTTTGTATTTAAATTATGTACAAATGGTCAATTTAATTTAAGTAAAAATTGATTAATTGTATAAAGCTACAATTAGGAATTTATTTTTTAAATTAAATAAAAGAAAATTCATCTGAAGTAGTTAAAACAAATAATTAATCTAAACAATTTACTAATTAAAACTATAATTAATTAAATATTAAAAACCATATTGTAAATTTATTTTTAAAGAAAATTCATCATAGATTAAAGTGTAGAAATGCATCACTTAATAAATTATTCTCTAAAAATAGATAAGATTCCCTTAATAAGATAAATGAGTGTACCTTAATATATTTAAATAAGAAGAAAACTAAAATAATCGAACTAAAATCCT